TATGTGCTGCCACTCCATTTCTTCCCCACACGTTAGTTCCTTACAAAAAAGGCGCAAAAGATTTTCCTGAAAATCTGTGGTTTCTCAATCTCATCTCCAATATACAAAAAGGATGGGCCCTTCCATCTATTTCCTTGCCAATCTCGAGTTCCTGCGAGAGAATGCGTAAGAGAACTTCAAGTTAACGATGAATGTCGTTTCTGCGCAAATCTTGAGCCACTTCTCTAGTTCTCCCACAGAGAGAAGGCTTTTAAAGTATAAATTATACTGGTTTATGGTTTAATTATCAGTAACATCGTACCTAGAAAAAAGTGAGCTCAAGCTAAGCTTCATTCGATACAAATACATCATGAAATTGCAACCTATGCGCAATTCGTTGCAGAAGTTTGGAAGAATAAGCAAGGCACCAACTTCACCGTTGTCTCCAGGACCCATAATCAGCTATACATAATTTGGCAAAAGCAAAACACATCACATAATGGAGTACGCACTGCAACAGGCAATGAGATATCAACAAAGGGAGCTCTAAAACAACTTTGACCATGCTTACAAATGCAGTAGTTTTACAAAAACTGTAAATCACCAGCGAATATTGTACATACAAAATATCATCTTTGGCTTTTCCACAGAAGGTTAGTAAATGAAGTATTATGATAAGGATGTTAGGCAATCAACAAGCTTTAGTTACTGACAAATCCTTGAATTCCAAAAGCTGAGTCGCTACGAAGAATTGATATCTAAAAAAATAATTTTATGGGCCAACTTCCAATGAAAATAGAAGCGAAAACCTCGCAACAACCTATGCAAAGGATGGCAACACAATGCTTTTCTCTATTGGCTATATAAGAGTTTTTGCGCATTTTGAAAATACAAACTTTGATTGATTGCGAAAAAAACACAAAAAATGTGATAAGGGATTCTGTGTCCAGGGCTTAGAAAGAAGAAAAGAAAAAACAGTAGCGGTCTTGGTCAAGTAAATCAAAAAAATGCAAAATTTCCGCACTTTCAACTCTGCACTGATAAATTCCAGAAAATTTGTTGCAAAAACCAAATCTTCAACTTTAAAATGCCTAAAACAGACCTTTTCATAATTACTACAAAGCTGCTGAGATTGATTAGTCTCCATAGAATCTACGAGATTATCAAGTGACACTACAAGATCCGCAAAAGTGGGACGCTTCTGGGGATCGGCATGCCAGCAAGGCAACATAATTTCATGATACCTGAAACAAAAAACTAAAACAACTCCGAAGAGTATGACGCTATCAGAGCTCATTTCAGATAATGCAACAAAAAAAGACCTCATGTGTGGCTGCGAAGTTCACACTTCAGCGTACTCAAACACTCGCATGCGCCAATGGTCAGTCATGGTGGACCGCCGGCGAGCCGTGGTGGAATCGTTAGCCTAGTTAGAAGACGCACAGGTCTTTGATGCTGAAGTGCCTTATTCTAGATATGCATAAGAACGGGAAAACCACTCCCCACTAACAGTTGACTGTACGTCTTCTAACTCGGCCGGCAATGCGACTGTTTGAGCAGACTTAGCTACTCACGTAAAGCGATCAAAATTGGATCCCAAATAGAAAACACTTTTTCTCTTCATCAGCAAAACATCTGCAGCCTAAAGGAGCCTTTTTGTTGAACACACAGTGTGCGCCTGCAGTGCGAACTTATCGCAGCCATAACGCACACGATGTTTTCCCTCCTCCCTTTAGACGACAAGACCGCAGAGTGTAAGTATGAGGAACACGTACAACTGTACTGGGCAGTATTCAGGCATTTGCAGTCTTCTGTTCGCTCGCAGAAACTCCATTATTTCGATCCCTTTCTTACCACCATAGGGTGTTAGCCCACGAGTAGTTAGTTCCCAAAGTACAACACCATAAGCCCAAACATCGTTTTGGAACGTGAACTAAAAGAAAAAAGCGGTTTTTGAGAATTTTGGTGAAGTCACCGCAATAGAATATCATTTCTTTGTGAAAAAAATTATGAGCCATCTCTGAAGTTGATGCTCACAATGATAGTAATCGAATTACAACCACTTATTATAAATGATAAACAAGCCCGATCGGATTACAAAGGGTTGGGAAGAGAAAAACTCAATTACCGTTTCGCTGATTATCGCTTCAGGCGCCATCCAAGGAAAAGGCACATCTCGATGCTTATTTGAAGGTTCATACGCCTCACTTTCATCACTTACTCTTCGGCATAATCCAAAATCACCGATCTTGATGTTCAAATTATTATCGAGCCTACAAACACAACATGAGTACGTTTTAACCCAATATATAAAAATCCCTAAATTTAGCGCAAAG